AGGAACATCAGAGAAATTCTTGAGGGGCAGGAGGGGGGGTATTCTAGTCCTTTTTTTATATAGAATAACGAGACAACGACGCCGTTTAGTTTGAGAGGGGCATTTGTAGGCATGCTACTTCTTTTTGCTAGTATCAACAGGTCTTATTCTGGTTAGACTTGTAAACTTGTGTGAAGCTGTGAAATGGTACATGTGAACCTATTTCCGTACGGAACTCACAGGCCTTCACATGCGGTCTTGTACAAGCTTCACTAAGTATTACATGGTGCCCACTCCAAACCGAACTGAACCTGAGATAAGAGTTCGACATAGAGAAATTGCTTCGAGAGGCACGGCTTCTGCACAAACAGTAGAAGCGCTTGCATGGAGCGTGGGGTACAGGTAAGGAGGTCCACGCTGCGGCGACGCGTAAACTAGCTAGTTTTTTGTCACTAGTTGACTCAATATACTGTAGCTTCTCCATTTTTAAGCAGTCAGCTCTGAGACGAATGCCGCGCACGCGTTTACACTTTCAACGCCGCCTTCAGCGCCTCGTCGCGACATGGATCTCCCAACCGACCTCACCGCTCCCGCAATGAGTTATGAGAGTTGAGCGATGTACGAATCCGTACTTCATCCTCCCGGTAGCATCAGCTGCTGAAGGGGAGGTTTCGTTAGCTCGGACGGGGCTTTGGCCGATGAAATCCTCACTTGTGGGCCACTTGAAAATTTGTGTCGAGCGGCGAAAGGAGTGAAGGAGAGATCCACTTCAATAAAATGTCCCATCCATCATTGAGGGAAACTTTTAAGTGCCCTCTTGAGGCATTCAAAGTACCAAAAAACTCAATGACGTTAGTCAGCTGATTTATTTGCGAACTTCCTTCTAATTTCTGAGGGATATGAGTATCATCTATCAAGTTTCTCTATATTTATTCTATTTTCACTTCTAAAAACTGTCACTTTCAGTTCTTCGCTGAAACGAAAGCGAAACTAGGACATAAAGTGGCATTGAGCGACTTACTTATCAAGCCAGTGCAGCGTATTATGAAGTATCAACTACTTCTGAAAGATATTCTGAAGTTCACCGAAAGGGCCAAGGACAAGACGGATATTCTGAAGAAGGCGCTTGTGGTGGGTCTTATCTTACATTTGAAAAAAAAACACGGGTCCAATATTTTCCTTTAATCCAAAATTATGTGCTTGCTGATGTCTCAGTAAGTTTTAGGTTGAGAGTACAGTCTTGTTCGCTGCGGAAGCTGTGGCGTGTCAGGGGAACTTGGATTGGCGCTGCACCTGCTCAATTGTTGTCGCTCGCCCCTTCAACAATTGGTGAAAGCTGGGTGTGGGGGGGGGCTGATTTGGCACAGCGCCAAACCCAGCTCCCTGACACCTACAGCATCCGCACGGTGCAAGACTATAGATCGCCCTTCAGGAGTTTTTACGCAGATATCTAGCGATAAAGATATCGATGTGTGCCAAAATAGTGAAAAAGAGGAGTAGAATTGTGTGTTGAGGTGAGGTAAAGGATAGATAACCAAATAAATAGTAAAAATGCAATGCGACTAGCAGGATTTGAAGTGAAGATTTTACAGCTATTTAGAAAGCTGTATGTGTTAGCTACGGTAGATGTTACTGTATCCGGGTTGAGAATTGCCCCTATTTTTGTTGGTGATTTTCTGGTCACATTTGAGCGATCTGGCTGTGATATATACCATTTTCACTTTAAATCGGACACTTTTCAAACAAATCGGACACTTTTCAAATCCAAATCGGACACTTTTCAAACCAAATCGGACACTTTTCAAATCAAATCGGACACTTTTCAAACCAAATCGGACACTTTTCAAATCAAATCGGACACTTTTCAAACCAAATCGGACACTTTTCAAACCAAATCGGACACTTTTCAAACAAATCGGGCACACCCCTTTTACAATTAGGTGGTTGATAACTAGACCACACTAGGTACTCGTTGCAAGCCCCGCCCCATTATCCCCGCCCACTTCTCAGCGCGGACAGGGTTTCCGGATGCTTCATGAAATCTGCTCCTCGACTTTTTTTCGTTTTTGCCCTTTGCACACACACTTCAACTGAAAAAGATTGATACCTATACAGATCTGACTCCGCCCACTTAACAATGAAGTTACGTAAGTTCTGAATTTTTATAACTTTTTTCGACGTAGTTCTTTTCACATCCAATCTTCACAAAACGAATAACCATGCACAGCACACCAGGCCCCGCCCCTCTGACCCCGCCCACTTGTGTTTATCGCGGAATTTTGGTTTTTCTCCGGATTTTCGCTTTTTTAGGCTTTAGCGTTTGGCTCCGCCCACCAATGGAAGCTCCGCCCCTCTGGCGAGAACCCGCCCTTTTTTTGGAAATGATGAAATTGGCCGTTCTCGTATGTCCGTACTGGCGATTACGCGGATTCTCCGCCGCTCGGAACAAACTTTCCCTTCTTTAATTCTCGTGTCGGGAGAGGCCGTAACCCGCCAGTAAGAGAATAACCCGCATATTTATCATTTTTTAAAAAGTGCGCGGGCTCCCCAAAGTGGCGGGGAGTCAGAATATTGTATAGGTCATCAATCCTTTTAGATGAAGAACAATGCAGATGTGTTGATGAAAATGCAAAAGGAGCAAAGAAAAAAAAATCGAGGGAGCAGATTTCATGAAGCATCTCAGAAAACCCTGTCCGCGCTGAGAAGTGGGCGGGATAATGGGGCGGGGCTTGCAACAGTACCTACGCTCTCGGCTCTAGTTATCAACCCCCTCAGTCTGTACAGGGGTGTCGCGCTCGCTCTCTCGCGCGCCAGGGTCCGCGCTAGACAGAATAGTCTTTAAGGGAGGCGCTTCGAAGGGTCGCGGCTGAAGTACGCGGAAACATTTTTGTCTAAAACTGCACGCTCAAACGATGAAGCTACGACGCCGAGCCGCACGTGACATAATTAGAAGGTCTAACTAATGTATACATTCTCACATTTACGGTTAGCCTCTCTTCCCAGGTAATGAGGCGCAATACATGCCGGCGTTCAAAAAAAGTATGACCAAACTTTTCACGCCAACCTAATAATATAATCTTACAGTATCCATCACAATTACAGTATTTTAGACGTCATTTGGATTGCTTTCACTCAATATTATTTTCTAGGTGATGCACGTGGTACCAAAGGCCTGCGATGATATGATGCAAGTTGGACGACTTCAGAATTTCGATGGAAGTTTGAACGCTCAGGGAAAACTCCTCTATCAAGTTGGTATTTTGGCTATCATTCCAGGGAGTATTTCGTGAGTAGTATTATGCCGCGCTGGTGGGCGTGGCAAGCGACTCCGCGTCCGCGACGGACGAGTTGCCTGGCTACGCGAGCTTGCCGCGCATCGCCGCGCGATGCGCCGCACACAACAGCGCGGCAAATTACCATTGTCTTGTCCATCTCCTATTCCGCGTTACGGTACTCAATTTGTGCTGCTGTTCAGGGTACTCTTCCCATCTCGGACAGTCAAGGCGGCACATCGCAGAAAGCCAAAGATCGTCGTATTTTCCTCTTCGAACAATCAGTAATTATAGCTGATCATATACCACCGAAAAAGGATTTTGGCAATCCGATCTACATATTCAAAAATCAAATTATGGTGAGTTAAGACTGATAGTTATTATTTCGCGGGAGCTTTCTTCTTCAGAATTAATTATTAATTATTGATTATTTATTACTATTATGATTGAGTTATGGTGCTGTCTCGGGTTCATTATCTTATCTGAGTGTGTAATAACAATAGTGCTGAAACTCCAAAAAGTTCTATTCAAAAAACTCAAAAAGAACAGTGAAATTTCTTCAAAGTTTATTAATCTACACTTAACTTGCCAATATTTCGGTGTAGCACCTTCTCGTCAGACCTGAAAATACTTTAAGCATTGTTTTTTGGTATCATACTCTTCCTACAAAAGTGCAACCCGCACGGAACTCCACCACCCGGCCACTACAAAACCTATTATGATCTATGATTTCACTGCATTATTATTATTATTATTATTATTATTATTATTATTATTATTACCTGACCCGCTACCGATATAATCGCTGCACACACGAGAGCAGCAGCCATCAGCAAATCTTCGTGTCACAAGAAGTTTTTTCAGACGGTCTCCAGATTCCAGTCATTTGGGACCTCAAAAAACTTTTTCCTACAAATCAATATATCTATTTGAAACTGCTTAAATTCTGAAATTTTGTTCAGGTGAACAAGATGCTATTCGAGCCATCGGTTGCTGACGACCCGCTCAAGTTCATCATTCGTAGTTCGGATCCGGCTCAACCGACAGCGTTCATTGCCACTGCACAGACACAGGAAGAGAAGGTGTGTCAGCTACATACCAAAATTAATCTGATTTTTGTACTGCAGTGAGCCTGAAGTTCGTTGAATCAATCGGTCTCTTATCCAGACTAAGCTATGGCGCGTCCCTTTCGCGGCCCAGAGCCAACAACTCACTGTTGGAGAATTTCAGAATGAATGGGTACGGTACATCAGTGAACAACTCGATCAACAGAAACGAATGCTGGCTGCATTGGTGGATCCACGACGATTTATGGGCGGTGCGACAGATGATCTGAGTGGTTCGATGGCTGGCATGGGGTTGTAAGTGCTGCTTAATGTTCTGTTTCATATTTTTTATTTATTGGCCCGTTTGTTACCTGAGAAAATGAAAGGAATAGCTGTGCTGCCACTTTTCGCGACGAATTCCTTTAAAGCTTGCACGTGCCACATTTTAGTGGGATAGGGAAAAGCGTGGTTCCCGTTTTTGTAGCACACTCCTGTCGTGACTCTGGAGCTATTCGGTCGATCGACAGTGGGGAGGGGATGTGTCTGGCTCTAACCAGAGAGGTCGTCCAGGACGTGGCGCGCTAGTTTTTTGGGAAAACGGTTTTTTTGCATTATTTATGGTCACGTGCATGGAGTATCCAACTGTTCATTTTTCCTGTACGCCTCTGGGAACACCAAAAAAAGGAGTGAAAAAGAAATCTATGGAAACCTGTGGTAGCTTTGCTGGGTGGAGGGTTCTCATAAAGGCACTATAGAAGTGGAGGAGAATGGTCGCTAATGGAGTCTTACTGGAAGCACGTGATTGGTAATGAGTGGCTTTGAGCGGCATGTTCGGCTATGGTTTCTTCAAACGGTCCCGGAGTTGGTGTTCAGCTACACCCTTCCGATGGCGTAGTGGATAGCGTGGAAGATTCTCAATCGGGCAGTGTTGGTGGTTCGACTCCCTTCGCCTTGCGAGTTTTTGCTTTTTTGTGTTCCGCTGTTTTCGCTTCCATATATGTCTGTTTATGAATTTTACTCTGATATCTACTGTTTATTGGCACATTCTAAATAGTTATACCCCATTACTCAGTGCTATTCAACAACTTCGATTTTCACACACCAGTAGGCAAGAACTTTTCTGAAAGTATCTTCATATGTTATTCAGTGCCCTGGTCACGACTATTGCATTTACTTTCAGCGGTATTGTCATTAATAACCATTGGAGCCACTTCTTTTCTGAAATCGAAAATCTGAAATCGAAGTCGCCTATTACATCATTTGTGGGACTTTTTAGGGCCTTCTGACGCCAGATTGCGTCGACGCCAAGAATACGTGTCAGAATCGTGATCAGGACCATCGATTACCCCTATAGGCAAGCTTCGGCCAAAAAATTTTTTTTGACTTTTTTGAGTTGCTATTGGGTTGGGTCGTGCTCACTCAGTCACTGTGTTGAAGTCATACTTCTGCTGCGTAATCGAAGACCCTTTCAGTGAACAGAGAAAACTATAAAACTAGCAAGAACGATAAACGTCATCGAAAAAAGAACAAAACGGTTATCATCATTCCAGATGCATTTGAGAAAGTGAAGGAAATCGGATGAGTCTCTTCTCTTGGTGGGGAGGACGACATCTTCGTTGAGCGAGCAGTCGTTTGGGCCGATCGAAAAATGCATCAAATCTCCAGGAATGTTAACTTGTTCTGCGGACCTTCATGAGCATTGAATCGCCGATTACGGCTGCCCGGCGGGCCCGACCCGTCATCGGTACGTCAATCAACCGCCCGAAGGTGTGGACACCGGTCATCATTTGCTGACCGAAGTCGTACCCACAACTCAAAAAGTCAAGATGTAATTGTTTTTCGGAGCTGTCCATATATAGGGATAATCGATGGTCCTGATCACGATTCTGACACTAATTCTTGGAGTCGACGCAATCTGGCGCAGAAAGACCCTCCCTCAGATGAGAGTGTACATAGCGACTTCAGTGGGAGAAAGAAGTGGCTTCAAAGTGGTTATTAATGACAATACCGCTGAAAGTAGTAAATGCCATAATCGCGACCAGGGCACTGAATAACATATAAAGATCAACTTTCAGAAAAGTTTGCAGAATGGTACGTGAAAATCGAAGTTGTTGAATAGCACCGACTAACGGGGTATAATTATTTAGAATGTGCCTAATGGTAGAGTATCTGGAGAAATCATATAAAACAGACATACATGGTAAGCGAAAAAGCGAACATAAAAAAAGCTAAAAAAACTTCGCAAGCAAGGGGGCAGTTCGAACCACCAACCCCCACCCTCACTGCCCGATTGAGTATTCCTCCACGCTATCCACTAAGTCATCGGAACGTTGTAGCTGAACACCACTCCGATCGTTGAAGGAACCATTCCAGACATGCCGCTCAAAGCCGCTCATTATCAATCACGTGCCGGTAAGACCCTATTTGCGGACCATTTATCCTCCCCAACTCGAATAGTGCCCTTATAAGGACCTCCACTCAGCAACTGGTTGAAGTTGCAAGTGATTCAGTACACACAGAAGCTCAAAAACCACCGGTTTCCATAGATTTCTTTTTCACTCCTTTTTTGGTATTCCCAGAGGCGTTCAGGAAAAATGAACATCAGTTTACTCAGGGCAGTGACCCTACATTCTATGCCGAAAAACAACTTCCGTTTTCAAAAAGCGCGCCACGTCCTGAACGACCTCCCTGGTAAGACGAATTTTCCCAAACAGTTTCCCAAAATTTTTTTAGTCATTGACTAGTTTCCTGGTTTTTCCGTTTACATGCCCTTCCTCCGCCCGCCTGACTCCGCCTCGAGGGTAGTTTTCTTGGAAAAACGGGAAAACTCCGTAGTTAATTGGAAACTTGGTAGGTAGGAGAGAATTCCGGAGGATTGTTGGTAAGATGGGGAAAGTGTGTCGTACTGTATGAGGGAATGTTGCAGGGGTGCTCAATTCGCCGTTTCCTCCATCCCAGTGCTGTACCCTGTCTGCACCAGGGGCTTCCAGGAACTATCACTTTCTGCTAGAACGTCGGAAAACTGCAGGGTATGGTATGGTAAGGGTGTACGTACGCTGTTCCAAGGCGCAACTAGCTAGGAAACATTTTGCTGTATTCTGAGGAACAGCAAACCGGAAAGTTTCGCTGTTTCCCTGCAGTTCTCGACCATTAGGACACAGTTATCGTCTCGAGAGCCCTTGGCTATTCTGCATCCGTATACTTTGAGTTAATCATGCCTCAGTACCTACCTTTTGGAGGGACATTCAAAAATCGTTGTGCAAAAATTGGGACGAACATCATCTAAATTGCGTCAGTACTTAGATTTAGTTCACCCACCCCGGAGCTCCCTTCCTCATTTAGACTCAGAGGAGTTCCCATTTCTGTTGCGGTAATTAGGGTGCTGCACAAAGAAACCGTTAAATGCTTAGCATTATGAAATGTTCTTTTTTCTATGGTGTCGAATATTTAGTTACTTCTGCCAAACGAGGTTTTTTAGATGACACCTTTATTGGCCTTACGTTTCGACCTTCTCGTCTTCTTCAGAGGCCTGAAAATGGCTCGAAGCTTTTAATTTGTTACCTACCCGACCAAACGCCCTCCCCACTCTAGCGTTTCCGACCTTGTTTCCCAAACGCTTCCCAAAAACTCGGTAATGAGTCCTAACAACTCACCGAAGGTATCACCGTGCGGAGCTCAGCTCACGCAGTGGTACTGACTGCGTGAGAGCTGAGCTCCGCACGGTGATACCTTCGGTGAGTTGTTAGGACTCATTACCGAGTTTTTGGGAAGCGTTTGGGAAACAAGGTCGGAAACGCTAGAGTGGGGAGGGCGTTTGGTCGGGTAGGTAACAAATTAAAAGCTTCGAGCCATTTTCAGGCCTCTGAAGAAGACGAGAAGGTCGAAACGTAAGGCCAATAAAGGTGTCATCTAAAAACCTCGTTTGGCAGAAGTAACTAAATATTCGACATCATGCCGAGGTTTCAAGAAGGGACTACAGGACAACATGGAGATTGTTGTTCTTTTTTCTTTTTATCCGCTGTTACTCTCCATAAAGCGTTCACTTCTGGTTTCAGAGGAGGTGATGGCAAGAAATCACCAAGTGGTGGTGGAAGTGCAGCTGGAGCAGGTGCAGTCTCGTCACGACACAATGCCAATAGCGGTTCGTCGAAAAGCGGCTCGGGGTCGAAGCCGGAATCACCGAAAAAGGAGAGCAAAGGCACAAAACTGTTTGGTTTTGGGAAGAAAGCGTCCGCTAAATCACCCACTTCACCGCCACCGGTAGGCAAATTGAAGTAGACATGTGTGTTAGTGTGTTGACGAACATTTGAGTTCCTATTCTTCGTTACCATACACCATTTTGCTAATCTTCTGCCAGTCACATCATCATAATCATCATTACCATCATCATCATTATCATCGTTATCATCATCACCACATCATCATCGTCGTGACTCTCTCCCTCTCACCTAGTCCAGGCCATATCGTCTTCGTCACTACTCGATTGTGTGGACGTTTTCATGTATGTGACGTCTCGTTCCGCGTTTATACTCTCTCTCTCTCTTTAGCTTTGTTATTTGGCAATCCCTGTGTTATGCCCCGCCCACTTTCATGTAGAGCCCCGCCTCCTGTGTGCCCGAGTATTCGTCGTTATGAGCATCATCGTTTATTATCGTGTTATCGCGAGCCCAGTGTACCAGTGCTAGTGCCCGAATGTTATATGTTCTTCAATAGGCCTTGATGTATATACTAATCGCTTGCGCGCCCAGCCTAAAAATGTCTATCCCACTGTTTGTTTTCCTTTACATTACTTTGTATTTTTTTCGGATATTTTCGATTCATCCGGCAGCGAAAACTGAGAGTGAGCTTGTAGATATTAATCCAATCAGGTTTGGTACTGTATAAGTACAGTAACGGTCAAATACAGTAAGTTGTAGGTAATTAGTATTAGCAGAAGCAGCAGCAGCACCAGCGCCAGCTCTGATGTTATCGGGCCTCAGTTTCCGTCCCCGGTGCCCATTTTACGGTTAGCGTCGTTTGCTCCTAAGAGATGCGTATAGAGTAGAGAGATGAAAGAATTAATACACATTAAGGTTTTAGTCATTCATCATCGTTCATATTCATCCTATTTTCGTTCATCCATCCATCTGTCCACCCATCGTTCATCCCCGTTTTATGTTGTTTTATTTGTCATCGATTCATACGTGATCCTAAGCTCCGTGATCCCATCCCCGAATCCCTTCCTGCGCTCCCAGCTGTTCAGATTTCTACAGTAGATAGTACTCTTCCTCCAATCCTTCCTATCCTTTTATCCTTCTCCTCTCCCCTACTCCTCACTGA